AAACATAAATACATGCTTTCCCTCTAGCTGTCATTCAAGAAGAGTGTCTTCATAAAAATAAAAGAAATTAAAAGTAACCCCAAGGCCAGGCACATGCCAATAATTTCAGCACTTGGGAGGCTGAGGCAAGAGGATCGCCTCATCATGAGTTCAAGGCCAGTCTGCGCTACACAGTGAGTTCAAGACCAGTCTGAACTAAATACCAAGACTCTGCCCCACCCAAAAACAAAATCATCACAAATGATTTTTTTTTACCACTCTGATGCCATGATATTTAAAAGAATGATCCACAAATAGCATTTTAGTCAAGTCCTGGACAGGAAACAGATGGAACCCTAAAGATAATTCAGGAAAGCTATTTCAACACTCAAGATCATGACTAAGTGACTATTTATAAGATATCCTGGGGTGGTAGGGCCCCACAAAGGACAATTCTGTAACCCCGGTTTCCCGACACCCAGGGGCTGTGGGAAGGTGACAGTTATTATAAAGGAGCAGAAAATCATGTAGAAGCCACACCAAAGAAGTAGTTACCATCAGTGAAAATTACATCAGCCCAAGCCGCCTCTGCATGGAGAGCCAGAGAAGCACATATCTTGACTCCTCACTGATCCCCAATAGTGCCCACAACTCAAGCGGAAAGCAGCTTGTGGTCAGTCACTACAGTTCTGACAAGGCCATCTCCGGGGAGCCCTCAGGCCAGGGACAGGACCAGAGCGGTGGCTCTGAGAAGGCACAAAGGTTAAAGAGATCTAAGGAGACCTAAAAGCCTGACGCTATGACGTGAATCTGCATTTTAGCGCAGCTATTTAACATCTCCCTCTAGTCATTTTTTTTGGCTTAACCTGTTTGTCCACGCAGTATCACACAATCAGTAACAACAAATGTCTATCTTAAAAAAAAAGAAAAACAGCTACACACAGTGCACTGAGAAGTGAGTGTGTTGGCTGGGGTGCCCAGGGCGAGGGTGCTTGCCCGGATGCTTGAGGCTCTGCCTGGGCCTGGCCTGTGTCTGTAGGAAGGAAGGGAGCTTTCTTCCCTCTCAGGGTGATGAGCTTGTCAGGGCTGCACTCAGGCAGCTATCAGGGGTCCGTGATCCTTTTGCCTTCAGTTCAGTCTAGCAGGGAGCATTCCCACAGCGAGCATTCCCACAGCGAGCATTCCCACAGGACACAGCCAGGGGAGCCCGGAGCAAGGCCCAGGCTGCAGGTCCCTGCCCACACCTGCCCTGCCAGGAGCCCCCGGTACAGTCCAAGTGGAGGACCCAGCCCAGGGTCATCTCTGGTTGTGGGTTCAGGACTCCACAAAACAAAAGGAGACAGAGATTCCAGAAAGTGGACAGCTGGAGTACTCTGCTACCTATCACAACTCTTGCAGATTTCCTTAGTCTTAAGAGTTTACAAGATCGTGAGTCTCATAACTAATAGATTCACTCTGGAAACTCTTTTCAGAGGAGCCTCATCTTTTCTTGATCTGAAGTCTGCCTTCGCTAGTGTATTTGAATGTGGCCTAATCAGACATTTTTCAGTGATAAGGGATGATTTCTCAGTGAGTCTCTCCTGAAATCATTTCTTTCTCAAACACACAAGGCAGGACACGCTATCACTTTCTCTCTAAAATGTTCTGATCTCATAAACAACCAGACTTCAGTGTTCCAACAGCCAAGCAGTGAAGTAAACATTCCTCAGTGAACAGTAAAGTGTCATGCTTTACATTTGTTACTTGTACTGAAAAGGACAAGGGTATAAATCAACCCAAGATACTGAATAAAACCTTATCATTTGGGCAGAATAAAATATAGGCAAATATATTCATGTTGGAACTGCAGAAGTGATAGCCAGGCCTGCTAAATACCTAGACAGAAAATAGTTAGAATCTGACAGTGAAATTCCTGTAATTCTCACCATGGCATGAATTTCAGCCAAATAGATTATAAATTCTTCCTACAACTCACCAATAATTCCTAGAATTGTGAAATTCTTTGGAACTTGTTTTAATACCTATGTAGTACATAGTGGTTTCTTAAACTTTTAATTTTTATTCTTAGGAAAAACATTAGTTTATTCTGCATGGACAATTAAATCCCTTTCCTTTTTATAAAATAAAGGTAGGAAGGAAAAACAATTACCCTAGTAAAATCACTAGCAATGTATTCATTTTATGTGTCTAAAGACCCTTTTTCATCAATCTGTGTATTTAAGAACTGCCTACTTGAAGATTAACTCACATTTTCTAAGTTACTTTACAAATACAGTCGCTTTGGCATAGTTTTAGTAGTCTGTCAAAATTTCTTGACTAAATCATTAGCAGGTTGCTGCTGAATGGTAAATCATCCATTTTTCCATTTGTACAGATCAGTGTAAGCAAGCATCTTCAACAGAATTCTTGGGAGTCATCTCCGTGTGGTTGTTTGTATTCAGCTTACTCCCACACTGTCTTCTTTCTCAGACTTTAAGTAACATTTCCTACCGAGATGAAGGAGTTCATGTTTTTAACATTTTGCACTTATTTTTGAAAGAACAGTTTCTATGCAGGTGTCATATGTGAGCTTAGCAGAATTTCACTGCTTTGATATTTCTGCAAAATTCTAAAGTAATCTTGAGGTCACTTTGAATGCTATTTTCCTTATTTATCATTATGTATTTCTACTCCTGTTCATCTCTTCTCATGTGATTCAGAGAGCCCTGTTGTGTAACCTGGTCATCAGGTTGCTTTTATTTCTGTTACTATGATCTAACACTTAGCCAGGAAGTAACCCTAACTGTAAAATCTACAAGGCCTTTCTTTCAATCCATGGAAGAAGATGGTAGGCATTTTTTTAAAAATCTGCTACTCGGTGACATATAAAACCAAATCCTTCTGCATTAAAAGCATTCTTTTCAGATTCAAACACAATTTTAGAAACGTAAAGCACAACTGAATAAAGAACAACTTGACTGGGACAAGCCAAAAGTATATTCCAGTAAACCATAGTGCATCTTGCCAAATTCAAGATTTGTCCTCTTATACCCTAGGAAGGGCAGAACATTCATTTTGAAGTTATTTTAAATGTAGTCTTCCAATAAATTAAAAATGTTTGTTACCCTACATTAAAAGTATCAGGACAGCACAAAGCCAGTGTAGTTCTTTGTCTTCACAGAATGAACCATATGGTCTTGGGAGCTGGATCATCCGGAGACCACTTAACCTACATACACACCCACCTCCATCACCTCCGAAGACAGCTACATGAGACACAGCCCGGCCAGATGGAGATCTAAATCCCATCAGAAACAAACTCCACAATCCACCACTCACTGTCAGGAAATGCTCCTTTATGTTTCAACTACAAAATGCGGGCTGCAGATTAAGCCTATTTCCTCTACTGCTATTCCTGGTGGAGAAGAAAACCAGATGGACACCATCCGTCTTGCAGCTGAAAAACAATAATTAGGTCACTTCTTTCCCTCCAGCATAAAACAGGAAAAGAAAACCTTTGGGGTTCTCTTTTGCATGCACTATATTTCACTTCATAATCATATTTAATCCTATCTGAAAGGGCAAGCATATACTGTTTCAGAAATAATATTAGGGATGAGCTTCCTTTGCAAACCCCACTGCAAGCAGTGTTTGGTCTTGGGTATCTCATCTTGCAGCCCCAAGAGACCTCACTCCTCCTCCTCCTCCTCCTCCTCCTCTTCCTCCTCCTCCTCCTCCTCCTCCTCCTCCTCCTCCTCCTCCTCTTCCTCCTCCTCTTGCTGCTGACTCATAACTTGGGATGGCTGCAGCAGTGTGTAAAGTAGGAAAGCTGGGTCTCCAGACCCAGCTCGGGCCAGCACTTTGTTTTGTCCTGGTACACAGGGCACCTGCAGTGGAGCTCCAGGCTCACAGCACATTGCGCTGTCATTCGGCAGAGGCACTGGTTTCTCTGAAGGAAACTAAGCCACGCGGAGCCCACAGTGGCAACGGAGGGAAAACGGCTCTCAGCACCGAGCACTCAAGTTCCACAGCAGTGTGTCACACTCCAGAAAACCCGGGAGACCAAACAGCATGAGCATAGCAAGGAAACCTGAGTGTAGGGGGCGATGGCGTCTTCAGACCTGGGCCATAGGAAGAAAGCTTTAGGAAATAGAGGACACAGAGGAAGCCCCTGTTATGGATTAAAAACCAATGGCCAATTTAGCACAGCTGAATTAAATCAGCATGGTACTGCATGTAGATGACCCACCCAAGCAAAGCTGCCGGTATAAAAGGAGAAGTGGAGAGGAAGAGCGTGGTGTTGTGGGTTCTCCTAAGTGGTGTTTGGAGCCGTTGGTTCTCCTGGAGGACCTTGTTGTGCTGGCTCCCTGATATTTACTCCGCGGTTCTCATTGGAGGAGCTCAGGACCTCACTGTCACTGTGTGGTACTTTTCAGGGAAGCCCTGGTCCTTATTTTGAGCATTACCTCCTGGTTCTGGTGTAGAACCCTCAACCTACTGGCACAGAACTTTCACCCCGCTGGCACAGACTTTCTAGCAACCATAACTGACCCGTGGGCCTTCCTAGCACCGATCCATTTTGAGTACCATACTTGCATGAGTCATTGTCATGGGCTCTAGGACTTCAGCTGGACTCATGCAGGACACTGCCATGGGATCCAGGTCCTTGGCTGGATTTTCTAGGTCTTTAGTGATGTGGACGGATTTCCTGTACTTTCTTGCATTTAACTTTGGGTGACCATCATAAAATAATATTAAGAATTATGTATCCTATATGTAATTGTCCTCCTGACTATAACACCCCCCACATGTTGGGTCAGAGATGCAACAGGGTGACAGGGGACTCAGCAGAGAGCAGGTGGCAGCGGCATGGAGCTCACATTAATTGGTTTACATTAGCTGCCTTGGGGGGGGGCAAAATTCATCCAAAATCAACCCAAAGTACTTCAAACGCATTTCTTGAACATTCAATAGACTTGAAGTATTTATTTATGCATGTTTGAGCAGCTACTGAAGTATCCACTGTGTGTTCTGGATCCTAGGAAATAACAGGGAGCAAAAGAAGAAAAGAAGCCTGCCTGGTGGGACCGACACTCTAACAGGACAGGTGATGGGAGCACACACAGCCAGTGGTGAACACCACAGTGCAGAAACACAAAGGTGTGGCCCTGGAAGATCACAAATATCCTGCTTTCCGTGAATCCAAGAATAAAGCCCCTTCAGATGCACCCTGCTATGAAGCAGATGAGGAGAAGACCACACTGCAGCATCCTCAAATCCACAGCCTGTGCTTTGCTGCACCCCTTGCAATCTGATTTCTCTGTCTACTCCATCAGGCTGAATCCCACCCTGGTGGTGTATTAGATGATACAAATGCAGCTTGGCCAAGCTGAGGACTTTCCATGGCCGGACCATTATGCTTCTGATCACCCATCAGAGCCATGATGTCTCCGAAGCATGGCTGCTGGGTCATCACCTTGCCTTTTCCCTGTTCGATATTTTTACCCACATCTTGATGAGGGCATAGATGTCATGGTTATCAAATTTGCAAATAACACCAAACTGAAAGGCAGAGCTAATGTGTCACATGACAGGATTAGGAATCAAAACGATCTTGACAGGGCAGAACAACCAGATAAAAACCGCAAAATGAAGTGAACCATCAGGCTATGATCGAAAAGCAAACAAATAAACACACACACACATGAATAGGGAGACCAGGTACCAGAGGTCTCTAATGAGGGAAGGAAAAATTAGAGGCTTTAGTTGGTCTCCAATTAAACAGTAGTCAACATATCGATACAGCTGCATAAAACATCTTAGGCTGTGCCATACAGCATTACCTACATGGGGAAAGGCAATATCAGTGGTGGAAGAGTACTCATTTTGAGTCCCATACTTAAGAATAATACTAATTTTTTTAAGTTTTCAAAGAAAGGTGATGGGAAATGCAGCTGTCCTATTATATAAGGAGTTGCTGGGGACCTGCCCACTATAGGAAACGGCACTTATGGAAAATTAATACATATTTCCGAGCTTTGTAAGTGGTTCCTACTGATAAGAACACTTTGTCACTTCTAAACCTGTTAACTTAGGGCCTCAGCAAAGAACTTTGCCCTTTTATGGCTCAGAGTATTATATGTAAACGACAGCTAATATCAATTCTTTGGGTTATTAGAACGATGAACAAAGACACATTGTAAATACGCAGTACTTTACCTGAACACAGCCCATGCTCAAAGCGGGTGGGTATCTTTATTCTCACCTCCCTAAGAAGTAGAAGAGAACAGGTGGAGGAAGGAGGGGGCCCATACCACAAAAGCATAGAGGCTTCTGAAATGTTTTGTTCCTTTCCATGAATTTGCCATGTAGATGCTGACTGACTGCCTGGGAATTTGAGAAGAAATTTTTCCTCTGAGTGAGCGTAGAACTAGAAATTTTCTACATTCCTTTCAGTGGATAATTTGTGAGCCCCTTATAAAGGCAAGGTTTTTGAAGTTCTGAAACCCTCTATGCATGTGGGTCACATGTCAGACCCTCATAAAACTAGAATCTATGGAAACAGTTACAGTTAAGGTTGTCTTCCTGATCTGTGCTTTCCTCCGGGACCCATGCTGAGAGATGGCTGCATCCGTTACCTCTTTCCACAAATGGGGAAATGAGCAGAGACTGGAAATTTACACAAGCTCCTCAGGGGCCAAGCAGAGGTTCAAACCCAAGCTTCTGAAGTGAAAGCCCGCCAGGCCCACATGCTCAGCCCCCAGATTGTCCTTCCCCCACTGATGCAGCAAGGGGATCCCATCCTGAGAGGTTTGCAGACGCCCTGAGGTTTCTCCATGACCACCACGCTGTCCTCCAAGTGCATCTAAGTTAAAATAAACTTGACGTCACAGTTGCCTCGGTGGGTGAGCTGAGAAGTGTGTTCTGCACAGTCAGGGAGTGTCATGCTCCACTAAAACTCGCTCTGTGAACTGGTGAGGCTCTCCTTGGGCCCTGATGTGTGTCCTACTCCTCCGTGTTGGGCAGCACTCACCCAGAGGTGGGTTCCCGCCCCGGTCTAGTGTGCTCTAATTCACCTTGTCCTTACCTTGTCCTTACCACTCCAGGCCCACACTACTGAACATGCACTTTCTGCCATCAATCAGCACTGTCCTCAGGGCCAACAACCGGGTGGACTGGACTCTCCAAAGAGTGGACCTCATCAGCTGGAGGAGCTGCTCCCCCCAGGGGCCACGGCTCAGGAGCAGCCCTTGCTGTCTCCCTGGTTCCAGACGGGCGTAGGTGGGGGGACAGGATGAAGGATGCCTGGTTTTGTAAGGTGGAGGTACTGCTTACTCAGAGCAAATCTCAGTGCCTGGCAAAGAATAGAAAGGCACAGCACGGGAGTGGGCGCATGGGAGGGAGCAGGAGAAACGAGCTGCTGAAGCCGCAGGGACTGGTGTTTATCCAACGAGTGGGCTGCCGAGAGGAAGCAGGGGAAATTGGTAGGAACAAGTGAGAAAGTTAAAAATAAACTGTGTTCAAAGAAGTAAGATTCTCTGACACCTTTAAAAAAAAAAAAACAAAAACAATTTTTTTCTGTTTATTTGGGAAAGTTCTGCTTCCTGCTTGTTGAAGTTAGTTTAAGTTTTGGGTTCCTGTGTCTGTGTGTTTAATCTTCCGATACAGGTGCATTTCAGTTCCCAAATGCTTACAGCATCCCTGAGCACCCTCGTGCCTGAAACCGGAGGAGCTCTGTGTTCTGTCTTATGAATACGTTTTCTTTCCCTCTCCATGGAACGCTGTAGCTTAGGACTTATTTGGAAGTTTACTTTTGAAACTAAGGATAATGATCTACAAATATTTCCCTGAGAAAGACTTCGTGTAAGCAAATAGCTTTTGTGCATGGAAACTCTAATTCAACTGAAATTTGATGGGTGTTTGTTCTGTGGGTTTGATCTTCCTGCTAATCTTACCAAATATTTGAGTAGAGACCTAAGTGCTGAACCGTTCCTAAAGAAGAAAAATAAAACTTCCCAGGACGAGAAGTTATATTTATAATTACTTAATTTACCAAAATGTACAAGAACTCACCAAACCATGCTCAAATCCATCAACAGAGATTACAGGCAGGCACTCTGCTGAGGGGTGAGCACCTGAGGAGCTGAGAGACCAGAAGTTCCCTCGTGTCCGGTGATGGAGATCGGAGAAGACAGAGCTAAGGCAGACTGAGTCAGGGAAGACAAAGACAGGAAGCCACCATGAAAACGGGCAGAAGTGAGGAGAGGAGCGCGGACAGCCAGCTAAGGAAGGCGCGAGCCAAGGTCAAGACGAGTCTCACCCCTTCCTCGCCTCATCCCGCTTTACCCAGCACCAACCTCTACACTCGAGAGTCCAAGTCTGAGAGTTTCCTCCTCCAACAGCGGTAATTATGCAAACCAGCACACAGATTGTCCCAAGCCCTGCAGGACAGAAGTCTCACCAGGGCCTTACTGGGTTGTGGCGAAGAAGTTATTAGATTCCAGGGCAATTTAACAGAAAGACTGCAAGTTTGAAATGAAAAAGACAGAAAGACACAAAATAAACCTCTCAAACTCCCCAAGTTCCAGGGCAAGAAACAGACGTCCTTGAATGCAAATAAGTGTGCCACTCACGAAAAAGGAAAGAAGATTTCAGGGGTAGAGAGCGAAACCGGAAGGCAGAATTGAAAGCAGCAAAGTTAGAGATTTTAAAGCTGTTTGAAAACTATTCTTCCTCTTCCTCTTCTCCTTTCTCTTCCTCCTTCCCCTCCTCCTTCTTTTTCCATTTTCTTTCCTTTTGAACTGGATATTTATGCCTTTCCCATCACTGTGTCTGGAAAGCAAATAACTTGTTTGAAGAGTTTCATATTTACAGGAAGAAAGGAAGTGTGCCCCAAATGGATTAGATTCAGATGCACTCGTATTGACAAGGCTGATGTGATTTGAGACTTTTGAACTATTGAAATTTATATGAGTTTTTGGGTTTGGGGTGCTTCAAGGACCTGGGATTGGTAAATGTATCTTGTATGTAGAAAAACAGTCAATCTTTATGAGCTACAGGGGAGACTATCATAAGCAGAACAATAAGTATATCCATACCCACCTTGCCATAATCTGTAGACGTGTTTTGTAACAAAGCATGGACAACTAAGTTTGCAAGTTGTAGTTAAGGTTTATAGGGGAGCAGATGTAATACAGGGCACATAATTTATAGGATTATTTTATAACAGTCACCCAAAAAGTCAAATGCACAAGACTGCAAAGATCTGTCCACAGAGCAGAGACGCAAAGAATCCGGCCGAGTCCTGGATCCCATGACAAGGTCCTCCCTAAGCCAGCTGGAGGCTTAGCGCTCGCGGCAATGTCTCATGCAGGTCTCAATCAAGGATCCATGCTGGGAAGGCCCAAAGGTCACGGTGGAAGCTAGAAAGTCTGAGCCAGACGGATGAAGGAGCTATGCCAGCAGGCTGAGGATCTGCACTGGAGCCAGAAAGTGGTGTTCAAGGTAAGGACCAGGGAGGGCTGCCTGGGAAAGAGTGACAGCGAGGACCCGAGCTGCTCTAGTGATAGCAGCCGAGTTCACATGAGGAAAGCCAGCGTGACAAGCCTCTCCCTGCCAGCGCACCGTCTTCCCCTTGGGCTCTCCTTTTATGCTGTAGCCAGCAGCCCACAGGTGGGCCCTCCACGTCCAGCACCGCGCTGACTCAGTTCAGCTGGGCGTCACAAGCTGCCACTGGCTGACCCACCACACAAAGAAAGGTAAGGTTGCAATCCTGAGACCTGACAATAAGATTATCCGGGATTATCCCATTTATAACCACATAGAGCCTGAACTAAGAAGTCAGAACCAGAGAGAGTGGTGCCCAGCCGCCACTACAGGCTTTGAAGATTAAACCCCACTCAGAATCCGTGACCTGGGAAAGGAAATAGCAGATTCTTCTCCCCGGAGAGAACGACACTCCACAGACTCCTTAACTTCAGCCGGCCAGACCCGTGTTGTGACTTCTGATTCTGAATCTATAAAATAATAACTGCGTGTTGTTTAAAGTCACCGAGCTGTGGTCACTTGGTAACAGCATCAGCAGGCAGCTATTTCACAGGGAAACACTACCACAGACCCCAGGGCGCTGACTGCAGTGGGCTGTGCTGGCTTTAATCCTGTGAGCAAGAGAAGACTCAGGGGAGGCCTGTGAAAACTCCAAGTCTAGAGCTCAGTCAGCCGTGCGTACCAAGGCTGATTCCTCAGGTTGACCTGTGTACCGTGGTCACAGAAGACACCAGCACTAGGAGGAATGAAGCGAGGACTCCGCGCTGTCCTCAGGTTCCCCAGCTCTGACCGTTCTAAAATGCGAAGTTGACTTACAAAGGAATTCAGCTATAAAGGGAAGCCGTGTGTTTGGGTAGCTGATTCATGTATGTGCTAGACTCAGGGATTATTTTTGCATCATTCCATGCTAATTTTAAAGTGCTTAATTTTTAAAGTTTTTCAGAGAGATTCATTTGCCATCTTTTTAGGCTCTTTCAAAACAAAACAACAACAACAACAAAAAAAATCCTAGAAAAACACCAAGCAAAGCTATGCACATGGGAATCTCAGAAAACGGTGACCTCTCTGCAAGTGCGGCCGGCAGTTCTTCCCTCCTGTTCGGTCCACTCTCTCCTCGCCTTCATTCTGTCCATTTCCTCTCCAGTGGGCCTCCTGCAGTGTTTTCTAATGAATCAAATACCGAAAGTGAAGAAAGTAATTTATATTGATTCACTTGGCGACTTGAAGTATCCAGAACTCTTCTTTAAAAATCTGCACTTCACAAGAAACAGGCACTAAGAAATTCTGAAATTCCTAGCACCATTCTCTAAATGAATGAACAAATTTCTACCAGAATTTGCTTTTTCTCTAATTGGTTTCATGTGCAGTAGTTAAATCGTGTATCATACTTTTTCTTTCCCGATAACTGTGATGAGATGACTAGTTTGGGACGAAGTTTTTAATAACCAGTTAATAAAAAGAAATAATGATTCCTTTGAATTCTTCAGTTATGCAACATAATCAAATCCAAGGCTATTCATTCTTAAACTATTTTCCGGTAGAATCTGAGATGTAAGAATTTATTAATCATAACAATAACTCCCACCACAAGAATACTTGCTAAGCAGCATCCCACAGAAGTGATCTCATCTTCACGGCGAAGGTGTGCAGAGAGAGGATGTTATCATTATCCTCACTTGACAGATAAGCAAACTTTTCCAAGCCCAAGCAGGTATTTGCGGTCGAGATGATATTTAGAGGGAGCCCGGTTCTGAGGCACAATTCAAGCCTTGTTCTTTCCCTGATCCTTTGCTCCCACCCCCACCCCATCCCGTGATACATTTAACCCAGAGAATGCAATAGAATTTGTACTTTCCCTCCTCACCCTCTACCACAATACTAACACGTTACAAAACCAGAATATAAATTGCACCTAGCACACAGTAGTTATATTGAAAGACGCTTATCTTGTATAAAAAGAAAGAATTTCATATCATCTCTACTTTTCAAAACTAGCCCGGGAGACCCGGCTTTTCTTTTTGAATATAGTGCACAATCTTCTCTCATTCCGCTCAGGGCAAACTCAGACATCAGGATATACTTCACCCCCACGACAGCACATGCTCTGTAGTGAAGGAGACATTTACTACAGATAAAAAGAAAATTCTTCTTCCCTTTAACTTGAGGTTCTAAAACAGAAAGCAATTCTTTTGCAGACCAGTGATTTCCCAGGCTCTTTCACCAAAGCCTCTACGGATCTGATAACGATGGCAGAGGAATCTTTTCTCCACTCGGCGGAGTGAAATGCATTCTGTGTGGATGTGGTTCAGGAATTTCTTTCTACTCTGTCTCATGCTGTTTGGACTGCTGTAAAAACACCACCTCCGGGAGCGCCAGCCACAGACACACACCTCCCTGTGTTCCTCAGACCCTGGGTGTGCAGAGACCAGTGCGGGCAGACTCGGGCCCTGGCGAGGCCTGCTTTGTCTCAGTCTCTAGACAGAAGCCTCCTTGCTATGTGACTGCATGGCTGTCTCTAGAGAGAGAGAGAGAGAGACAGACAGACAGACAGAGAGAATGTGGATCTGCTTTTTCCATCTCACAGAGACACCAACCCCATCATAAAAGCATCACCCTCCTGACTTCCTCTAAATTGAATTATCTCCTCATGCCGTATCTTTAAAACCCTTTGCCTTGGATGCTGAGGTTTCAATATAAACAATGTTGGGGAGCACACACACATTCAGCCCCTACCACTCTCTTAAAACGTAGCATATGCTGTCTCACCATGCAATTAGGAAAGAGTATCTAGAGTCATTCTTTTGCAGTTGTTTCAGAAATCTAAATCACTTGATCATCAAAATATGCGAAGGACAACTTTCCAGAACATGATTAGGGAGCAGGAAGAATACTAGAAATAATTTTGGCCTCACTGAAAGCAGCACATTCGTGAGCTGTGACTCAGTTTCCCAGCTTTGCCTGAG